AGATGATTTATGCAAATATTTCTCTGATAAAATAGAGGTGTGACATATGTCCTAAACAAAATTGCATGAACAATTATTTGTGTCACAGTTCAATGGTTTAAAAATATATTCTGTTCATGGGATACATAGTATTAACATGTTTGTGAGCTCATCATATACTAGAATCAGGCTTTCTACAATTTAAACATGGAGAGATGAGTTGATAAAATTGTTTAGTGGGTCCCCTATCCAAAGTCTGCTGAGGTTACAAGCAAAATTTGATGGAACTTTGGGTTAGATTCTGGGAGAAAGGATCTCAGTATTTACCATATGAAAGTCTGTCTTCCCCCTTTCCCCTTTGTGTAAAGAAAAGACATTAAAATAAATATCTACCCATTTTCACATTTGCAATACTAGTAGATTAGGATAGTGCCATGAATGTGTCTTGTCTCTGCACTTTCCAGGTAAATTATTTACCTATTCAGACTGTTGTATATGTTTGTTTATATATAAATATTGGTTTGACATCTCTTATTTTAGCTTACCAGTTTGCAGCTCTTCACTTCTACAGTGCAAGGACTTTGCGTCTTTAATTGGCTCAGCCTCTGATTCAGTATTTGCTTATGTTAGCCCTGTGGAAGCAAGGTATCGCAATACTTCACTTTCATCAGTAGAATTTATTTTTTTTCTGTAATAGTGTTGGTCCTTTCGAGGTTCTTCAAGTTTCATCATCTTTTTTTTTTTTTTTTTTTTTTTTTTTTTTTTAACAGTGCATAGGACTGAAATATCTATGGAAGATCTAATAATGAGATAAGTTTGCTATTATACTTATTTTTCACCTTGAGAGATACTTTGCCTGAAAGTATGTTTCTAACTAGGCACCCAGTGTGAATAAATACATAGTCTGTTACTCCCCATTAAAAGGGCGCTGACAGCTGTGATTTCTGTATGCACATACATCTACATATAAAGCACTTCTATCTATTTTTAGGTTCTCTAGATTACTAGATTTACTCATCCCTAATCCAGCCTAAATTTATTGTATTCAGAGTATTATAAACCTGCACAGAAACCTGGTTTTGGCAACAAGGATTTCGTCCACAATAACAAGTAATTTGGCACAGATCAAAGCACCTGAGACTCTTAAAAAAATCTTCATTGTATGAGGCTTGCAGAATTGACCTTAAAGTAGTTTGCTCGTGAACAGATTCCACCTTCCCACCAGCTGGGCCAAACATCTGCCTTACACTTATACTCCAAGGCTTGCTGAGGCTGTCCCATGAACCCTTCCTGCCCCGCCTGAAGACATCTCTGCAGAGATCTTCAGGAAGCACCACAGTGCTTTTCTTTAGCTCAGGTAAATGATCTTAACACAACACTGTTCCCCTAATACCACCATTGCTTGTGTAAGCCAAAGCATGTGTTTTCCTCAGTAGCTAATTCAGTAGCTGCGACTTTTTAAAGGACACAGTGGTACTTACTGCAGGTTCGCCTTCACAACATCCCTTTGAACATTACTGGCCACCATGGACTGCAGGGGAGAAGTCACAGACATGAGCCTGCTGCAGCTATAGCAGAAGGACAGCTGAAATAGACTTATGTCTATGATCTTGTACTTCTCCTTTAAGACAAAAAAAGGACCAAATTCCTCTGGGCGTCCTTGCCACTTCGACTGCTTTAACCAAGGTTGAGCAGAAGTCGCGATCTTGGGGCAGGACTACATCACCTTCAGCACATGGCAATGACAACCCACCAATGCAAACCTTTTGTGATGAAGAGGTACGTGAAAATCCTTTGTGCTGTGCCTTAATTAGTCTTTCACAAAATGTCACGAGGTGGCTGCTGGAGGGAGCCACAGCCTGCATCTGACCTGCCCTGAGGCGTGTATTCCACAGCAATGATGGGGGTCTCCAGGAGCTGGGAGTTCAGACATGCAGACGGCTTGCTGCTGCACTGATGCCTGAAGAGCACTTCAAAGTCTCCCCAGTAGCTGCATATCTTCCAAGCTTCATCCAGAATCTTCAAGAATTTTGCACTATTTTTCTAGAATGCAAAGCAGCGTTTCTAGCCTTCTCATGCCCAGCAGCATCAGGTAGTCTGCACTCTCCAGGTGTGCCGCTGGCTTACCCTGTTGCCTGAGCAATGCAGGGCCCTCCAGCTGCACAGAATTTGGAAAGATTGGGAAGACTCCCCAGGTGCACTGGTTGTTCCTCTCTGAATCTTCTGAGAGGTGAAGAAGAGCTGCAATCAACACAATTGATAAAGAGTTTATTATTAAGATTACTTTCCCTATAATTCACTTTCTTCTATAACAAAATTTGTTATTAGACTAGATATTAGTATAACAAAACAGTACATTACACATCTTCATTTAGGAAAGCCTGTATGGCATATGCTTTGTTTTTCCTGTTTGCCAGTTTTTTTCATGGACAGAAAAAAAAAAGGATTTAAACTTGATTTTAGTGTTAAATAAACACATGCATAGCAAGATGTAAACTGTATTTCAGCAGCTTTGGCTATGTGACAAAATGTCATCAAAACATGACTGATGAATAGCTAATAGATGCATTGAAGTAAAATTATAATTTCTATTCAGAAATTCAGTTTATAAACAGTCCCAAAAGAAAAATTTGCTGTTTGAAACATCTAAGTAGCAAATCTAATGAATAGTCTCTTAACTTTTATAATATTCCCTGAAAATTAGATTAAGGTATAGTCGACAACCTTGCAGGATTCAATGAAAGTATAATTAATAGTGAAAATATTACAAAGTCCAATCAAATACCCTTCTAGAAATACTCCCTTTGCATCATTAACTTTGTCAGTCATTCCTTTAAATAAATCCCTGTTTAAAAATAATAAAAAGAAGGAAATGTACAAGTGTATATTCCTGGAGTGACTTCATAAATTGATTACCTTTTGAAATATTTTATTCTGATTAATGAGAACAAGACAGCTAAAATATGTGAACTGAAGATATAAATATACTCTACCTATTTAGAATGTAATTTTCCAAGCTGTTTTTTCTGAGGATTATTTAAAATTAAATACCATATCCCTTGCATGGAATCTGGCAAATCAAGGATATATTATTTTTTTTTTAATTCATAATGACAAGAACTTTTATTATTGCTTTTTTGAAAATAAAGGAATTGGTGAATCTACAGCTCTAATTTATGCCACATCACACGTATAGGAATACACATGTGAAATTATAAAATTATTTCAGCACTGCCTCACTAACACTGGTGTAGATCCTGAACCTACAATGACCCACCAAAGGTGAATACCTCCATTTGTACTCTAATGGAGCTGAGCTCTGTTCAAGGCCTCCTCTGGGGCACCAAAGGAACATGAAGTTCCTTCACCTCCAACTCATTATAGTGCAACAGTATCAGTTACACATTTCTACACTGCTGTCAGTGTGCGAGAGAACAGATTCCAAGAACCACATCAAAAGATTGAACAAGAAGCTAGTATATGCAGTTAAAAAGGTAGAGGTGACTCAATTTCCAGGGGTTTACTTTAAATATTTAAAGACTGTTCTGACTATGGAAAATATTTAATATTTAAAAATAAAGTAAAAAAAATCCTGACTCTTGAGATCTTTTTTTCTGTAAGTAACAAATATCACTGTCTTTTTCTCTTATATGAAAGTAAACAGGCAATTATTTCAAGCATAGTTTTACCTTCAAAGTTTCATTTGCAAACCTGCAGTGGTATGATTAGGAATCACTGAGAACTGGAGGTACTTCTTTGCCATGAAAGCTGGTACAGGGTTTGTAGTAAAACTCAACAGAGTTTGTCATATTACTTTTTTTTTTTTTTTTTTTTTTTTTTCTGAAGGTGGTATATCAGGACTAAATCTACAATTCATATTCCATAAAACCCACAAATAAAATTATTCTCATTGGTGACACAGATAGCAAAAATAAGTCTATATTAAAATCGATGGGAGTTTTGTATACATGAAAGCTATAAGATATAGGTGCTTATAATTATCATCTTCAAACCTATTTTAATTTTCTGTGTCTTTGTAAGTAATTCAAAGTCCTTTGGAAGGTATTTGGTATTTAAATTCCAAGGGCTGCTTAGATCCAATAGCTGAAGCTGAAAATTGAGATAAAAAAAGAAATAAAAGATTTTTCTGAGAGAGAAAAGTAGTTTGTGCTTCAGCCTTAAATGATCCTGGTATCTGATACAATGGAAAAGCTGAAGAAGAGATTAGCCATTTGAAAAATGACCATTTCAGAGCTGTTCATTGATTTCTTAAAGGTCTATTCACTAAAAATACATTCAAAGTATAAAGGGCAAAGATCCTACTGGTAGGTCATTACTTGGATACAAACTCCTTGTAGTCTGCTGCCTCAAAACAGTAAAAAATATTGCTACCCTAATACTGAGTTAGCATTTACTCTGATTGTGTGTGCCAGTTTGTGATGGCACATTGTCCTGGTTTCTGTTGGAATAAGGTTAATTTTCTTCCTAGTAGCTGGTACAGTGCTGTGCTTTGGATTTAGGATGAGAATGATGTTGGTAACACACTGATACTTTAGTTGGTGCTAAGCAGTGTTTATACTAAATCAAGGCCTTTTCAGCTTCTGATACTGTTCTGCCAGTGGAGGCTGGTGGTGCACAAGAAGCTGGGAGGGGACACAGCCAGGACAGATAACCCAAAAAATCCAAAGGGATGTTCCATATCATATGACATCATGCCCAGTAAATAAACTGGGAGGAGTTAGCTGGGAGACACTGTGGCTCAGCGATTGGCTGGGCATCGCTCAGCAGGTGGTACATCACTTGTTTTGTATATTCTATTATTATTATTGTTGCTGTTATCTTTATTATTATTATTATTCTTCCTTTCTTTGCTGTTCTGTAAGGATGCATCTAAAGGTCCAGCAGTTAGGTCCACGTGCTCACAGCTGCAGTGCCAGTGCTGGATTCAGTGGCATGGGAAAGCCATTATAGTAAAGGGAAAGGAGAAAACAATTTATTTATAGCAAGTTACTGACCTTGTATATTTGGATTGCTACATTATTATATCAGGATGAAATTATTATTTTTGTGTTCATCTGCTATTCAGAATACTTGGTAAGTTGAAGACAGATGAGGTCCTAAAACACAAGAAATAGAAAGTATAGTGACATTCCCTTAGAAAGAAAAAAAAAAAAAAAAAAAAAGGGCCAGGGAATTAAGAACAAACAGCTTAACTTCATTCTTTGGAAAAATTCTTGGATAAATAACCAAAGTACAAAACACCTGGAAGATTACAAGAAAAGAAGTAACAGCTCTCAAGAGCAAATAATGTCAAATGTTTCTAAAATATTTTTTAAAACAAGTTAAAAAGTCTAGGGGTGAAGAGGAAAATAACACCAAACAGCAGGGATGGGATTCAGTTGCTTAATAATAATATTCATTACCATGAAGGCGTCCAAGACAACCATACAAGGCTGGAAAGATACAACTTACAACCCAAGGGAGATATGCTGTCTTCTATCTCACAGCTGGAGGCCAGGCAGGATATTTTATGTTGCCTAAAATGTTACTGGACATCTATGAATAGGGAACTGAATTAATCAGAAATGTTGTATGTCTTGACTTTCAATATAGAATTCTAGAAAATAGGTTCTAGGTGAAAACCTGATAGTGAAGGCAAAAATGGCCTTATGGCTATACTTGGAGAACAGTTATCTATGCTCATTGCCTAACCAGAATCATTGAATCAAAAGGGGTCCCAAATGGCTTTGTTGTTGACCTGACTCTAAGATTATCCAAGTCACTGATAAACCAAACCAAATTTATCAAAGCTTTGTGTTATTTGCAAACACGCCAGGTGATACTTCTCCTCTATTCAGTACACCTGGACTGCCGTGTCCAGTGCTGGGTGCACCAGTACGAGAGAGAGGTGGAGCTACTGGAGAGAGTCTAGGGAAGGGCCACAAAGAAAGTTAAGGGACTGGAGCATCTCTCCTATGGGGAAAGGCTGTGAGAGATAAGACTCTCAGCCTAGAGAGTGCTCAGGCGGAATCTCATTTGTGGCACTACTGGTATTGACCAAGTTCCATTTTGCAAGGACTTCTTTGTTTGAAGTGATGAATGTAGCGCATTATCCCCAAAATTACCATGCAGTCTATAAAGACAATTAATTTTTCTAAGAAATTACAAGGTAGTTAATTAATCTGAGTTCAAGTTAATTAAAATTTTACTCCTTTAAGAAAAGTGTTGGTGCATTTAGCGTATGTCAGTCTTTTTCCACTAATGACCTGAAAAAGAAAATACTATATGTTCTTGAAGCTTATTTTTAAAAGCTGTTGAATTCCTGTATTAATCCTCAGTTGAAGAAAATTAAAAGCTAAGTTTATTATCTGTTATTATTAGTTAATTTTACTTAACCACAGTAAGACTAAATACTGGTACATTATTGTGACATCAGGGCTAATTAGTCACCCAAATTTGTATGCAAAAATTCTGGTGTTTTTAATATATCAAGAGTCTGAGGGAGACTGGTTAAAGGCATTAGAAACATAATGTAAGGAATACTCAGCTCCATTCCTATGAAATTTAAAAATCACATAGCCACTTATCACCTGGGCAACAGTTCCTGAAAGACTCCCTTTCACACCATTCCTCTGCTGGGGGAAGCAGCATTATCAAGAAAAATGTAATCATATATGCCCATAAAGCTTGTAGAAATTGTGACTCAGAGGTTGAGCTCTCCCTTTACCCCTTATATAAGAAGTTGATGTCACTAATATTTCAAATTAAGGATCTTATGCATCATCAACATGCTTTCGCTGTTTAGCAGTGCTGGGGAGAGTCAAAACAACCATAAAATCCAGCTCTACTTGCTTTAGTGTGTTGGTGAACCCACTGAAATAAAATATGATTTAAGATACTAGGAAAAATCAGAACTGATACAGAAATACTACATTATTCCTGTTCATTATTAGTATATAAATTCTGAAATAATTTAAACAGAGTAAAACTAGCAGGCAAACATATTCCTCAGACTATTTAGGATATAAATTAGTTCTTCAAGCACAAAAATATCAAGAGGATGCAGTAATCCTCCTGAAATAATTAATATAAAACAAAAATACCTCTAAACTTCACAAAAAGCAATATTAACTCTCATATATAGTCCTACCATGATAAAAAATATTTAGAGGAAACTGGAAGGTGGTAACTAACCAATTTAATTCTAGATTTAAAAAAAAAAAAGCAGGATTTGGTCACCTGAGAGATGCCAATTATCTTGAATCATAACATATGCTAAGACGTCAGGAATACAAAACTATTTTTTGTAAATATTTATGTGCATAACACATAGATTTATAAATACTATTTCTGAAAAATCTATGAATAAACATATTCTGGATTTTCCAATAAAGCCTTCAACATCCTTTCTTATTTTATCTTAAGTCACCTTTATCCTTTCTTATTCCGTCAGTTTACTTACAAGTATTTGAGTACACTGAAGGAAAAACTGTGCTTTAAATTACACAATAAGCGGAAAGACAGTTTTGTATTGTGCTTTGAGTTTAGATCTTCAGGCTTTTTTTTTAGTTTACAGGACAAGTCTTAGTTTACAGGAAACCAGAGAGAACCTTGTCTGAAATATGTGTGTATGTGTATGTATATGTTTTGGTTGTCAGTGGGTATTTTTATCCAGAGTAGATTGGATTCATTGAAAATAGACAAGCCAAACATTAGCAATTTTGAATTTGAGTAATTCAGGGAAGAAAGTTAGAACAATGACTACCAAAATTTAGGCCTGTAATTTCTTCAGGTACTTTTTAATAAGACCTGTGTTAAGTCTAGACATCAAAACATAAAACTTATCCACAGTCTTTGTTATACAAAAAAAGTGTTAATGTAAAAAATGAATATAATTTAAAATTATTTTAGAAGCACAATCATAGATAATGATTATCCTTCATAAGTATGCAAAAACCAACATGGCATTTGACATTTTGGCTAAAATAGTCTTTTGTTGAAGAAATTGATAGCTGCAGCCACTTAAGGTCAGTGACTGCAGACAAACATAACAGAAATTGGTTGAAGTGTGCTCCTAATTTCTCCAGTTCCTGGCACTGTCAGGAACTTCCCCTTTCATCTCCAGGGCACCTTGCAGACCCCTGCCTGCCCTGGCAATGGGACCAGACTGTCCCACCAATCCCAGACCAGGCATTTTGAACAAGGATTCAAAGGGCTGATTGTGTACTAAATGAAGAATTCTCTGTGATCCAATTTCAAAGACTTCTAAAGCAATATGAATTTTTAGGCAAAACTTTATACAGAAGATAATTACTATTACTGATAACCATATCACACACTCAAGGATATGCAGTCAAGTGTTGGTAATCCAAACCAAATTCCAAGGCTATAGGAATAAGTATAAACTAGTTAGGAAGGTTGAATGTAAACATCAGTTCAAGGTCTAAAGTGTTTGACTTGAAACAAGCTTAGTTAATTGCTAATCAGTGGGCTACATTCTGAGAGACAGTTTTTTTAACAGGATATGAATAATAGTAAACCTGATATGCAATCTTAGAGGGAAAAAAGAAAAGTTAAAATATATAATCTGAAATGATAAACCAGATCTAAGCAGCACAGTAATTTACAGAAAAAGATACTTCTCTTCAACTGGAGCAGATATTTTCCTGCATGCATCATCACAGAATGAAGCTTTACTGTTCCCTGTTACTAGAGCAGAAAAAAATAAAAATAATTGTTTGTGATCTGTATTTAGGAAATGTAAACTTAACCTCTAAAGTAATGTGAGTTACTTTCTGCTTGCTGTACTTAGTAATATGTTTACAAATACATAACAATGACTTAATGAAACTTAAGTTTATTGAATGAGATGTTTGGAAGCAGCTCAGAGAATGCATATTAAGTTAAAAGAGTATAACTTATACTGCTTTATATAGCAAAATTTGGTACTTTTGGTCTTTTGATGGTTGCAGTAGATATAGTTAAAAGCAAGAATTAGAAATTATACAGATAAGGTGAATTTGCATATCAACTTGAGACTACAGATGGAAATGAAGGTATATTTAATCAGGCACTTTATATTAGCATTATTGATTACCTAAAGGGTTTTTGGCTGTCACAGGCAAATGTCAGATGCTCTAATTAGATTACTGTACAACTTGTATATGAATTAATTGCACAGCAGATTGCATATAAAAAAAAAGTCTGTTTTTCGTACTTCTTTCCTTTCCTCAACAAATCTTTCACATCTGCTGGACAATGACAGCATGAAATACAGTTTCTGAATGTAGATTTGTTTTGGGATGTTCAATAATTTTATATATGCAGACAGTGTGATTCCTATCTCTGGTTTACCAATGAGTCTATAAAGCCTCACAGAAAGATTAATTACAGCTCACATCAATTTTGGCCTCTAGATGTCATGTAAAGAACATAACACTAAAGAGGAAGCAGAAGAATTTTGATTATGTCCATCAGACAAAAAAAGAGAGAATAAAAGGTAGATAGTGGAATTTTAAAAGGGTTGGGTTTACTGTTTGCATCTTTTTAAATAACTGAAGTTCTCAAAATTAAGTGGGCAGTAGGAAGAAATAAGTTCAGTGGAAGAAGTGTTACTGATTGAAGAACTACTTCTATAAATCAGTAAGATTTGATAAAATAATAAACAACATTCAAGAACTCACAGATGTCATATAACTGATACTCAGGGTTAAAACTGGTACAGAAAATATAATAACTGTCAAAGATGTAATAGAAATATAGTTATATACCTGACCTTTGGCATCAAAATTCTGCCTGCAGTTCCAACCATTTCTCAAAAATAATTTTGATAACACTCATAAAACCAGTTTTCCAAATATTTTATTTGCAGTTTTAAAATGCACAGTGCAAACACCATAAAAGCACTTTGCTCCGTGACAGCATTTATCCACAGATCTTAAAATACATTAGTTATGCAAGTATCATATAAAATAAAGAAATAGAACTATATTCACTCTTGCAGGTCAGTGAATAGAAAGAAAAAGTTATTGAAATGCAGGTCCAAACCCTAGTTCCAAATTGATAGCAAGGCCAGAAGAGGAACCTCAAAATATTTTTCCCACTGAATTAAACATTC